ACTTGACACTAACCTTTTCACTGTAGCCTATCTCCATCGTGTCAAGTAACCTCTGACGAAAATAGTTTGACCTATTTTATATAAGCCAATCGAATCCATGTTTCAAAATTTTTCACCAAAGTTTGGTGAAAACGCTGATTGGTTGATCGTCAATCGGCAATCCTCGGCTGATTCCGCAAGCTCCATACTAACAACATAGTTATTGTCGAGTGCGGAGACATCCGAGTAGTTCCGAGTGGTTCCGAGTGCATAACCGTACACAAAGAAAGCATGGAGTATATCGGAATTGAAACCAGAGCAGTATGATGCCCTGCATCATTATCTACTGAGGGATGATGTATTTTGCGTGCTGCCCACAGGTTACGGCAAGTCCCTGATATTCAGCCTTATCTTTGATTGGTCCGGATTTGAACAAAGCGCGCTTTGACTCGTTCGCGTTCATTGGCTAGATCGTTCAATGAGTCATTGAGTGCGGGCTTTAAATTTGATTGGCGGGCGGCGGGGGCACTCGAATCTGGTCAGAGGTTACTTGACACGATGGAGATAGGCTACAGTGAAAAGGTTAGTGTCAAGTCAGCTCTGAAGCTCAGGGTGGCAATAGATGATAAAAGCATGAAACTTTCCATGATGAATGACCATTGGGTGTTTGTCAACCCCCCGGTCCAAAAAAGATGAACACCCAATGGTCATTCATCGTGGAAAGTTTCATGCTTTTATTATCTATTGCACAATTTTGGAAAAAATTTGGACTGAGCCACCTGACTATACTGTACTGCACATTTTGCTTTCACAACCAATATGTACTTTTTGATAGCGTAACTCGAAAACCGTTTGGAATACAAAAAAACGGAGACCACCTCCAGTGTTGGGCTTTACATGCAAATGCAAAAAAGAATGGGTCTCTAGCATTAACGGTTCCCGAATTAGAGACAGTTTTAAGTTTCGGCATCTTATGGCCGCTACTCCCGTGAAAATGCACCGATTGACCCCAAATTCACGGAGATGAAAGATGACCTGAAGGGTAACACTTTCCAATAATATTATTGGTTAAGTCTGTGTGGTGTCTGAATAACAGGGCAAAAAATTTTTTTTTCGTAAAAAATATTATTTTTTTGAAAATTTTGGCCTGTTTGACCTTGAAGTTAAGGTCAAAGGTCAAATCCAAGGGCATATTTGAAATCTACACATATGACTTTTGGAAAGCCGTCTGTAGAAAATTTTCCCATAACCCCTTCCGTAGGGTAGATAATTAGCATTTAATTTTGCCATTTTTGGACAAGGGTGCATTGCAATGAGTGCCACACCCAGACCCCATTACGGACAAAGCCCAAATTTTACGTGGAACGAGTTGAGATTATAGGTGACCTAAATCCAAGAGATGGGTACCGGGGCCCTTACCGTCTAGGAGGAGAAGCGGTAACGGTAGCCGTCCGGCGGAGCCGGCGGAACGATCTGGACGAGACCGAAACCATGTGTACCGCCAGCGCTAACGCTGGTGGTACAATAAAACTCTGAACTATGAAACCTTACTTCGCATCGCTATCAGCCGCTGCAGCATAATGTAGCGCTGTACAGCCGCGAGCGTCTTGGCGGTTGATGTTCGCCCTGGCTGCAATGAGCGCCAGCACCACTTGGTAGTGACAGTTAGCTGCCGCGTAGTGCAGCGGTGTTCTCTCTTCTGCATCCACACGGGCGAAGTCTGACCCTGCGGCCAGGAACAGGTCAACACACTCTATATTACTGGAGAGAAAGTAGGGGAATGATTGTTAAACATTTATAAGAAAAGAAAAATGGAATAAGACTTTTAATCATCAAATAGTCACCCAAACAAGTGGGTCATGTCTATGGGCAAAAGATAAGTATGTCGCTACCATAAAAATAATTTTTTGTAAGATTTTGATATAATTTTTGCCTATTGAACTCTTTTTTTTACTTGTCTTCACTGTAGGACATTTTTTCTCTGTGGACAATGTAATATATCAGGTAAGCTGCACACCATGCATATCACTGTAACCCCCCATCCCTCTACCCCCTCCCCCCTTCACCTACCCCCCACAGGCGGCTGCGTGGAGAGACGTGCGGCCATAGTCATCAATGGTGTCCACTTGGAACCCCTCGGCACACGTCATAAGCTTCCTGCAGCAGTCTGTGAAACCATTGAGAGCCGCCAAGTGGATAGGCAACATGCCAAAACAACCACGCCTGGAAGTTATTTTGAAATGTATATGATCTCATAATGTGGTAGATTTCATTATTAAATTTTTAAAAGTACTTTGTCTAAAATCATGCTTGGAAGATTAAGTGGAAGATTACAGAAAATATTGTCTGTCTGCCTGTCAGTTGATAGGTTTGTTGATCAGCAAGTCAGTCCGTCTGCCCTTTCTCCCATATCTCAATCTAACAGTGTATTACTTAGTGGATGTAAGCAGTTCACAGTTATGTATTAAATCCTTAAACTGTGTGTGTGTGTGTGTGAGCGTGTGTGCGCATGCGTGTATGTGTGTCTCAGCGTCCACACATGCACACTCTCTTACTTCAGTGGGCTAGCTCCGTGTGCTAGTAGTGTAGTTATCAACAGCTCGTGGCCGTATCTGGCGGCGATGTGAAGTGCCGAATTACCTGACTTGTCCACAGCATCTACTATGGCACCTGAACACAATAATACAGTTACTGATTAGAAAGCTGTTTAACATGTAAAAATATACATAGAAACTAATCTATGAATTCATTGACAAATAAATAAATTATTTCTAATTTATTTACGATCTAATATATTAACTAATAAGCTATCAATTATTAATCATTAATTAATTTATTTATCACTCTAACCCACCATGCTGTATCAGTGTCTGTGCTCTGGCAAACCTCCCGTGGAGAGCTGTCATGTGGAGAGGAGTCTTCCCATCTCTGGCCTGAAACAGACATAAAAACACCTTCTTTAATAGTGCTGATACGACATGCACAATACAAAATTAAAAACACAAAATTTAGAACACATCCATTTGTTTTTAGCAAAATCAAGCATAAAACTACTGAGGTGACAGCACTATTGGACTGTTTCCTCACCTGCACGTTCATGTTTGCGCCCTCGTTTACCAGTATCTCCAGACACATGGCGCCATGTGTTGAGGCAGCAGCAAAGTGCAGCGGCGTCTGGCAACAAATAGAAACAGGAAATCAAATACAAAGTTCTTAACATTTCGAAACAAAATGCATTTAAGTTAGGAAGTCTCCTCAGGGTTCATTCACAGTATTAATTCAAATCAATGCTGCTAAGTTTCTGCCAATAAATGGATTGTCAAGACAAGTTGACAATGTTTTTGACAATAGATGGCACACCAAGACAAGCTTACCTGCCCCTTGTTGTTGACAGAGTTCAGAGAGGCCCCGTACATGATCAGCTCGTTGACTGCCACGTCTTGACCATTCAGACACGACACATGTATTGGCGTGTTGCCAAAGGAATTGACAGCGTCCACTTCTACACTGAGCTCCAGAAGGAGTTTAATGACGCTGATCTGACCACTGCAGCAGGCGGCATGGAGTGGGGTGTACATCTGGAAAAACATGGGGCACCACATATATAGGTATGAAATGGGTAGCTATGTTAAGGTAAAATCTCTTTAGATTTGTTTCTTTTTATATGTCTATCTGTCTTCAGGTATAAGAAACTACAGGATATAGGTTACTTTTAACAATGGTCGAGGTGAAACAACCCTAATAAAACAGTACTGAGTGAATGAAAATTCACCATATTAAAGCTTTGATAATTATCCTATACGCTTACAAACAAACATATTTTACACCTGGTCCATTTATATATAAAGGATTTAATCGTGTTATTTGTAAAAATGATGGGAATAAAGAGTATATATCTCTGCGTATCAATACCTGTTTATCTCTACAGTTCAGCTCTGCTCCGTGCTGGATGAGGATACGAACCACTTCCACATGCCCCATGTATGACGCCCAGTGCAGAGCGCGACGGTCCTTCTTGTCAAATGCATTAATTGATGCTCCCTTCTCTAGCAGCAGCTGTGTCATCTGGGACATTAATAATGCAGTTTCTTGTTTTAATTAATCCTCACAACGTGTTAAGCAAAGTCAAAACTAAAACTGCAATGTTTTAATAAGCAAAGTTTACTAGGCTAAGAGAGATGTATTATTGCTGCTTCACCTGATGCTAATTTCTACTGTGGTTGAGTTTGAACATGCACGTGAATGTGTGTGCATGTGCGTGACTGCAGTGGTGCACCTCTGCATTCATTGTGATCCACAGCTAATATTAGATCAATATTTCCCATTATTTAGAATATTTTTCGCTTATTAAAACATTGCATGTGCTGTACTTTGTATGTGTGTTATAAATATTGCATTATCATTGTTAACTGCATCTTTTTAACAAAATACTTGCAATATGTTATTCTTTCTCTTTTTTATTGATAAGGCAGAAACAAATATTGATAACTGATTTTTTCCTGAATATAGTAAACTTTTCCTATAAGAGCAGCTCCTGTATTCTGTCTTTTCAATAAAATATCTTCCTGCAGGAAGTTATATCCCCAGCTCTTAACACTAGTACTAGTACCACCCTCCCTTTACCTCAACATGTCCATTAAAAGCAGCATGGTGCAGTGCAGTTCTCCCAGCTCTGTCAGACACATTGACGTTGTTCAACAATGGAATGATGTACTCTGCACATTTCACAGCGTTGTTGGCCGCGGCAACATGGAGGGGTGTCTGCCAGTTCTTGTCTCTGGCGTTGACGTCAGCTTGATGGCGTAGCAACGTTTCCACTGCGTCCTGAAACACAGTCAGCGCAAAAAAAAAAAAAGAATTACTTGATCAATTGGCAAATTTTCACCATAAAAGCTCAAACATATCATTTTAACATGGTCATAAGGGTTTGGGCCAGCATTTCAAAAGGAACAAAGGCAAAGGAAATTCACTACAGGGAAAATTTTCAAAATACTTGAAGCAAATGAAAATGTTGTGGTAGTTGAGAAACCAAGTCAAAGCATGGTGTTAGCTTTGACAACAAATCATTTTATTTTGTCAGTTGTGACGTATAGTCACAATATTGTGTTAGCTGCTACAAATACTCACATCACTCCTGGAGCAGCAAGCTCTGTGAAGTGGCGTCAACCAGCGGTTGTCCTTAGTGTTCACTCGGGCCCCACTGAGAATAAGTAGGTCACAAATCTCCGCCTCTCCACAATATGCCGCAGCATGTAGGGGGCTCCTTTTTTCTGAATCCTATAAAGAATTAGAGATATAAATGAAATAAAGCAGAATAGCATTTTACTTTTTATTCTCATTTTGAGTGATCACAGTCTCAATGTTTACAAAAGCAGTTTTTTACGTAAAGGTCTCCTTCTAACAGGGAAACAAACATGTCAAATAACTGATCTAAAAACATGAGAAGTTCACATTTTCTATTTTGTTGATCTTCAAGAACATTTATTTTAAGTGATAAGAGGAAGGCACTAGTGATCTGTTGTAGATTCAAGGCAAACTTGCCTGTTGTATTCCTTTTTCATTCCAAAATGTCAATTTTTAGCTCCCAAAAAGTTTTTTTTAGAAGTCCACAACCTAAAACCAATTGACTCCATATACTTACCTGGTAGTTGACATCTTCCTTCTTATACAGGAGAGCTCTCACCTCATCCGCGTCTCCATGGAAACAGGCTTGAACCAACTGAGGCTGAAAAGACAACGGACGTCTTGTTGGCAAAATGTGGACGGTATTGTACATTACACTGAACTCTCAGTTTTACATCAGAATGAAATTTTTCAGCTGGAAACAAAGTGTTTCAACTGACTGGAACAGTGTATATATATAAAAAACGAGGGTTCCATGCCATGGTCTCCTATTTCAACCTGTTGTTTTGTATCAACAATTATATTTCTTATTTCCACAGGAATGAAACTTGTTTCAAAGTTTGAATTCTTTGGATATGCCTCTAGTACTGGGTAAAGAGCACTTGATCTCTCTAAAAGACATATTAGTCCCATACTAGTGCTTTTATAGATAATGAGTATCAAAGTCCCCTGTATGCTTGTTTGTTTGAGGTTCTGGAGATATTTGAAATACCAGATCCCTGGGTGCTTGGTTTCAAGGGTTAATGCTATGCTTGGTACTAAGCGTTTTCAATATTTGCCATGCAGGGCATGGGAAAGCAGGTTTAAATTCAGGTTAAGACAAAGGCTTTTCATATATTTATGTAAAATATAGCAAAGAAGACTGAAAAAGTACAGGGCTGAATAGAAATGGTCAAGCACTGAACAGACCAAGATGGTGACAAGCACTGGTCAACCATCTAGAGAGAGTATACCCTGCCTCAGTGAAGATTTGCCTGGATACGACAACTGGTAAGTACTAGTCTTTCTGACATATCTTAGAACAAAACAAATACTGTTAACGATAATGGCTGTGTTCAAGAGACATACTTGAAATAGAAAACTCATTTTAGCCACAACTCCAACATTCTAGTGTCTTACAAGGAATCTTCATCGGGGAACAAGCCTCACTATTAAAATGCACAATGATTATAACCTTGCTCCTTTACTAGTAAGTGTGTGTTGTACTTTGTAATATGCTGTACACTGTAGCGCAGTGTAAACACCTAAGAAGTACGTTTTGCCCTTACCATTTCACTCAGCTGCAGTATAGGAGTGTCTCCATGTTTCCGTAGAGGCGGGGGAGGCGCCTGTCTCCGTACAGAGATAGATACCGCAGTCATAGTCCTAGTCACAGTCAACAATGTTAACAATGTACAACTAATCAGGTAATATTCCGCAGTCAACTAAATACTAGGATTGTTTGCCCTGTTTGTGACCCCCCTCCCCAGCAAAAAATAAAAATAAATAAATAAATAAATAAATAAATAAATAAATAAATAAATAAATAAATAAATAAAAATAATACTAGAAAAAATTAATCAAATCAAATATTTTACATAATCCATAAAAATGACCTATTTAAAATTGAGACAGAAAGTAAAATTAATCAGTTTTAATAGACCACCTTGCATAATCACATAATTCCAGAAATCCAAAATCACTGTACTACTTCTCCGTCAGTGTCTTTCACCATAAACATCTAGATTAACCTACATAACTGCGATCATACCACAAAAGATATGTCAGAGACAAGGTAATCTGAAGACTAACTGATTGTTATCAACGCAGATGCCAATATGGAGACATTTGTTGTCACATTAACACACATATATATCTCTGGTTTTATATCATCATACAATGGGGTGGTCCTAACCCACACATACATAATACTTCTGTGGATTTTTTTATGTCACCTCTACCTGACACTGACAGCAGAGCTGGGGGGCAGTTTCTTAAGATAACTTCAGACCAAGAGAGGTCTTATATATTGAAACAAAATTATTTTGGTCTACTTTAATTAAAATACATATATTTACCCTAAAAGAGAATATATTTCTTTTATTTTGCACTTTTTTATCAAAATGAATTAGAGTACTGATTATTTAAATAGATTCAACTTAGACTGAAATTTTATTTTGAAAGTTAGGGCCAACTTTCGATCCAAAATCTTTTTTTTTTTTCGTGAAAAAAAATTGTCACCTTCACAAAACATATTTACTATAACTATTACTAAATTAAACTAAATAGCACTAGGTCAACTTCAGTTTAGGTAAAGTTAAAACTGGAGAGAATGCAAAGAGAATCATGAATATAACCCACAATACTTGTATTTGACCCACTTTACTCAGAAATCTCATTGAATAGCACCAATAGGTCTGAAAACATAGGAAAAATAAAAATGGCTTATATAGAGATTAGATATGTTCACAATTCCTCAATATTGAACAATGTTAACTTGTTTCAACAGCAGCAAAAGTAAGGGTTGGTGAAAACCACATTTAAATCCTGAATCTTCAAATTATACACATAAGAATCACAACACCTATCAATAAACACCTACTAGTAAACAGCAGAATCTAATATAATTCACACCTGTGCCAGCTACTGTATAGCAAAACTCCTTACAGAGAGAGCCCAGGTAAGAATAGTTTCTGTTTGGCTAAGGATATGGTGAATTGATGTACTGTTTTATGAACTAGACTGAAATGTAGTTTCTATTTTTTTTTATTCAACCCCCTGGGTACTGCAGTCACATCAAGACCTCAGGGAGCTATCCACAACAAGTGATGAGTCCAAGCACTTACTAGTATAAAGAACAACAGTTGAGCACCTTCTGAAGATTCCCCCATGTTGCATAAACATTGCTAAAGGACATCCCACTGGCTTCTACTGTGGAAGTTTGCAAATAATTTTGACTACAATACGGAAAGTGTGAGTAGCAGTGCAGTGTGATTCTTAATACAGGGGAAAATTCTAGCTCCTAGAGGGTTCAACACCTTATCTGTTCATACAACTTCCATAACTTAACACCCTGAGTATGAGGGGAATATAAGACCCCATTTCCAGAGATTAGATCGATCTACTTTAGATCGACCTAACTCCCTGGGGGTTCACGCTAAATAGCTGTCAGCCGAGCGGACACGAAAGTTAATTACCCCCTTACAGCTTGTAGTAGGCGGGACAGACATTTTAGCCGGATTATCTGACAGTAATCTAATGGGACTGCCCGCGGGGATAGATCAATCTAAAAGCTCTGGGAATACAGCCTAGATCAATCTAAAAGCTCTGGGAATACAGCCTAAGTGACTGCACTGGCTGCTGTGATAACAATGTTTATCCTGATACACAGGGTATTGTGTATAATATCCTAACATAACTATCTCTGAGACGCGGGGTGATTTTATCCATGTTGCTATACACTGGCAATAGCTAAGAAAGTTACTTGTTAACCTATGAAACACAGGTTGATTTTATCCATGTTGCTATATACTGGCAACAGCTAAGAAAGTTACTTGTTAACCTATGAAATCCAGGGTGATTTTACCCTTGCTTTTGCTGGCTGTAGACTAGTTAGGAAAGTAACTGTTTATAGAATACACATCTGAAGTATTAATCCTATAGCCTACCCCTACTATTGTGTATTATACCTCTTACTCCCACTCAACAAAAACATCTGCAATCAACATCTTTAGCAGTAAATATCTCTATATCTTTTAACATCTAACCTCTTCTGCAAGAGAGAAAGACTGCTATATATCTACTAGTAAGCTGAATTACATTCAGTAATCAAACATTTAATTTTTCTTTCACTAATCTGTCTCTACTCACTCCAGCAGAACAAAGTGTATAAACCCCTTAACAATATCAATATTCAGTTGAACTGATGTCACTTTAGCTGTCTTCCGTGTCTCGTGTCTCGGTGAGGAGAGAAATCCCTGTTTAACACAGCGTGTACTCCCAGCTAGCAAGAATGAGGTTAAACATCTCTTATTTCATAGCAAGGCAGGCCACAAAGATAAATGTTTGTTATACAAACACCCTGCACCTTATCTGGCTGGATTTTTCAATGAATCAGTTGGAAATGGTGTATTCAGTTTGGTTGTTTTGATTGTTTGAATAGAGTAACTTGAACTAAGGCATGCAAAAAGAAAGAATAAGGAAGGGAGTTTTTAAAAATTGCTAAGGAAGAGAGTTAAAAAAAAAAAAACTCAGTTGGTGACTCAGTTTGTTGGACCCAGTTTGTTTACTGGACATGGCTAGGCTTTCTTTATCATTTATCAAAGTTGTAGATCTAAAACTATTTATCTCAGTCCAAGTCTTATCTAACATGTAATAAATCATCAGCCGTGTCCCACCACCCCTAGCTGTCTCCAAGCACTTTGATATGTGGAGTAATCTTCTGGCACATGCACCCAAATAATCCATTTTACTTGTTTCTTATTTATAATGTACATCGTATAACACTATTTTTTTATTTATTTATTTTTCATTTATTTACTATCACTATTAGGAGAGAGAGAGAGAGAGAGAGAGAGAGAGAGGGAGAGAGACTTTATATCTAAAAACATTTCAGTGCTCAATAAATTATTATTATTATTCAGCAAATAACAAATATTGCAATCTATTCTTTGGCTCCTGAATAACTATGATCTTGAAAACATCATGATAGAATTATTTGTATCTGAGTGTTAACCCATACTTCCCCCATGCCTGTTCTCAGTGCTGACTCAGTCTTCCATGTGGCTTTAATCAGGGGGATATTTTGACAACTGGCAGACCCTTTCTACAGGGTGCTATCAAAGTTCATACACAAGGTGGAAATCGGGAAAAGAAAGCCCCCTTTACCACATTAGGGAAAGCTGAGGTAGCCCACAGCTTGCCTACTTTGCTAAATACTAAGGCTTCATTCACATGCAATGTCTATTTTCTAAATTCTATTTTCTATTCGCGGTATGTCTTATGATCACGGTCTGTGCCCTGAATATCCCGCAGCGTAAATTACTGGCAGCGCGAGCCAGTTATTATAAGTTACTATAAGTAACTGGCTGGCGCTGCCAGTAATTACGCGGCGGGATATTCAGGGCACAGACCGTGATCATAAGATAGCGCGAATAGAAAATAGAATTTAGAAAATAGACATTGCATGTGAACAAAGCCTAAAACTTACTTAGATAGACTACACAAAATTGCATTGGTTTGACTATTTTTGGTTAAATTTCAACCATTTGTTGAAAAAAAAAATGATGAAAAGAAGTAATTTTGCTGTGTGAAAAAAAATTGCTAGAGCTAACTTAGTAGTGGATATTTTATAAAGACATACATGTACTAGACCTACATGAAATTAGACATACAAAACTACCAGTATATACTTCCAGATGTGAAGTCGGGAAACTTTTCAGAAAATTGAAATATAAATTTTAAAGCATTATCAACAAAGCAATATTGTTGGAGAAATCATGAACTTATACTAATAATATCTATTATTATTTCTTACATAGCCATTTCCTTTTTGATATTTTAATGCACTTTACAATCAAAATATGAAAATTCTTTAACAATTGCAGTACTTAAATACAAACTTACTTGAAAAGTTTACAAAAAAAGTAAATAAATTATATGCTTTTCTCTTGCACTGAGTCTTAAACACAGCTTGATGAATAATTGTTAATCATACATCAACTCCAACAATATATAAACTTTTGTTCTACGTTTCTCTACTAACTTCTGTTTATTGTCCATTTAATTTACTCCTGATTATAATAAGTTGTCAGGGTAACTGATCTGTCAGTTGTCATGAAAGTCTAACTTCCCAACAACAACATTTATTATTATTACAACACTATAATTCATTTTTAAAAATGCAAATGGGGTTGAAGTTTCATATAACTGCAGTAAATAAAGAAAGGTTATACAAAGAGTAGTGCTTTAAGTTTTGTATCACCCTGTAGAGGAGGCACAGACACCACCATACCAGTACCTCATTCAGGGAGTTCTGCTCTATTTCAACCAAAGCATGTTGAACTCTAGTAGAGAAGAGACCAACAAAAGGCGGCACAGGGGATGTTCACACACACAGTAGTGTCACTGGCGGTTGTTTGTTTGCTGAACTTTTTCTCAACAGAGTCGCCGAATAGGAAAGTGAGGTTGAAAACATCGCCATGACTGAACCAGATATTTTGCAGCCTGGATAGTGTACTTCATAGATGCCAATATATCATAACATCTGTAAGAAATTCTTTGTTTGGGATTTATAAATTATGGTGACAGGAGGTGTCAGCTTGTGAGACAGGAGTGGAGATACTGACAGACCAAGCACCGTGACTACACAATTCAGGAATTGTAACCACTTCAATACACAGACAAATATATCAAGCAAATAAACGAGAATGAAGTAAAAAGAGAAAACCAGCAGATTGCTTGAACATCACTCGAATAAAATACTGTCAATATGGGCAGGTATCCTTAACCACAGATGTTATAGAAAACTGATTGTATCTCAGGTGAGATGATAAACACCAAGTAATGGTGAGGGGGACATTTGAGTTACCCAAGCTGAAAGGAGAACAAAACAAAGACAAGATTCCTTCTGTCCGCTGGGGCGAGAGCTAGGGTGGACATGAGTGGACACTGGTCACTCAGAGTCCTGAGCCCGGAGTCCTGACCACTGTAGGAGGGTGGAAGATTGAAAGCATTTTTGTTGAGAAAATGGGACTTTATGGAGATTAGTGTTTCCTTATAGGATCCATCACATGCTGAGGAAAGTGAAGAAACTGATTTCTTGGTGAGTCTGCATAATTGAACTGCTGTAAAATAACTATGAAACACGAAATGTACTTGTAGCTTACCAGACTTAAAATGTTAAGGGTCAGTTTTTGTTCAAACTGAAACTGTAGGGGTCACTTAAAAGTCACTGAACAGTTATATGTATTTTTCAAGTGCTTTAAGAGATTGCTGAATATAGCAGACACACTGAAAGCACTTTTCTTAACGTTTTTTTGTATTCAAACTCCCAGCTGTAAAATCTAACACAAATAACCTTATTAACACTGTAGTAAAGGTCTTCAGCAGTAACAAATGTCAATGATTTGGAGTGGAAATGTCAAAAATATGTTATAATTTTTTTTTTTTCAAAAAAAAAAAAAAAAAAAAATGAACCATAAGAAAACCTTACAACAGGTCAAAGTGGTAAAGAGCATCACTCATAAAACAAAACAGTATTTCATGTGCCAAACTTTATTTTATTGCTCTGGGTGTAAAGCAATTATCTAAAAATAAGGTCAAAATATAGCCTTCTTTTACACAGGCTATTTTGACAAAATTTTCATGTGCTCAATCAACTTAATTTTGTATCGCTTTAGGGAAAAAAAAAACACCTCACTTGTACACCCATGCTCCCAAATATGATGTGCTGAAAGATATGTCTGTACTTGTTATCTGGTGCCAGTTGCCATGGCAACATGGATCAGGTTATAATGAACAACCACATTCTGTGTAAGCCAGAGCTCTCCTACAGATGAGAAGTATTGTATATGCCAAAGAAATGCTTTACCTCATATAGTTGAAAAAGTTTAAGGATAATATAGTTGATTTTTACTACTAATTATCCTTAACCTGTGTGTGCAGAAAGAGAGAGATTTTGTGTGTGTGTGTGGGTGTGTGAGAGAGGGAGAGAACAATTCTGTGAAAATTTCCAATTCATGTTGGTGTATTTTTTGGGCATAGACTCATCCATTTCATGCAGTTGCTATGACACCAGTCATGTTCACAGAAAAAAAAAACATTTGGAGAAAAAAGTGATGAAAAAGTAGTGATTTGGCAAAGCTAAAAAAAATTGCTAGTGCTACCCCAGAAATGATCATTAGAATTTATGTCTGCTCATGACACCTTTCTACGTCACTGTATGCAAAAGATAACAATCCCCAAGACATCAGGTGACCTGTACCTGATTTTTTTTTCTTTTTTTCTTTTTCTTTTTTTTTTTTTTTTTTTTTTTTGCTATAAAAATTTCAAGGGGCAAACATAATTTTTTAGGCAATATATATTTAATTTTACTGAGTGGCAAACACTGGTCTTAATTGTGAGTCAGACTCATATATTATTCTTAACACCAGCAATATTTTAATATCTAACAGTATTATTATTATTATTAATATTACAGTTCTTATCATAATAATCTCAACTAGAAAGCAGTAGGAAGAAAGTCCCATCCAGTCTACAAGAAATTGTGTTGTGTTTGATGTCCATGTCTTCTCTAATGCAATGCAGTGTTCCCTGAAGTCAGCTAAGACAGTAGCTGACAACAACTTGTACATGACACCCCAGAGTGACATGATATACATGTCTGATATATAGACATGTTGAACTCCAGTCGAGAGGAGACCAACAATACAGGGACTGATAAGATCACTTAGCACTTTATTTATTCATTTAGTTAATCATTAAACATAGTCCTCCTTGGCTGAATGACCCTGGCTTGCACATGACCTTTGACCTGGATTGTTCAAGGTTTTCCCATTCACCTGTGTATCACATGATATCATGTGGCAGGGTTTTTAACAGGTCACGTTAACCATAATAAGATAGGTCACAAAAATCAAAGAACAGACAGTTGCAGAAAAAATTACTCTGCCAAACTAAATTGTGCTCTTAATTGCCACAAGAGAAAATTTAAGCTTTGTCTAATCCATCTGTTCTTCATATTAGAATGATACTCTACAGACCCCATTACCTGAGTTGCCTTATCATACTGTACATGTATCACCTAGGGTTAGGAGCAATGACATACCTGAGCTGGTGTGATGATGGCCCCAGAAATAACATCTTGGTACAGTGTACAGTACATCTTTACTACTGCTCACAGTGGGCCATCTTAATTATTGATATCTTTATTTCACAGCCAAACAAATATACAAATCTGATAATCACAATTGAAAGAAACTAAGTTTTGTATAGACCCAAACTGTTTGTTCATATTTTCTTTGCTTGTAAATAATGGTCAATTCTGGTGCAGTCACCTGTATTCATATGAGGGTTGCCATACCGGGGCACTTTAATATAACATACTGGCATCGACTTACATGCACAGGACTACACTGTAGTAAATGCTGTGATGAAATGAACAGCTTACCAGTAAGGTCATAGGATTTATGCCCTCCCCTGTGCTAAATAATTCTCCTGGGGAGGGGGGCGGTAGAAGGTAGAGAAATATATTGTGCTCTGCAGAAAAAAATATTTTCTATCGTTCTTCTATAATCACTTGGCATAATTAACCAAGAGTTCTGGGAATCCACAAACGTTTCTGAAACTGCACCATTTCTATTCCAGCGAATTTCTCCACTGTACACGTTGCCTAAAACCTGCAAGAACTTATTTGGTCGACTGGTAGTGGTACGAGTGACTAGTGCTGATTCTAATGGGTGATTTAATTTTCTGTTGGGCTTACTTTTAAATTAACACCCAAAATTAAATGTTACGAGGGTTTGCAAAAATGCTACCTAAATCTCCGAGGACTTTGAATACCTGGTCCAAGTAAAATTCGGTGCAACCACGAAAAAATGATGAAATGAACACTGAAAGTTGAAACGTAAACACTTTACAGCAACATTGCATTGCCTTTTTGCACATTCCTTAACACAAACCTCGTTCGAAAGCTGCTGAATCACCATAATCTTCTTTCCCTTGATCCAGATGCCAATGTTCCAGTGGTAATTAACGATGAATTAATTAAATCTGGGAAGATTTTCCTCTTGCAATTAGTTGACCGCCATAATTATGGAGGCCGCCATGTTTTTTAAGACGATGTTGTGGTGCCACCTATCGACAATTTTTCTAAGACAAACACCATTCCACACGTGAGTTAAATGGTAACGTACGTACGTTGTACAGATCGAATACACTTAATTGCGCATGCAGAGGAGAAAACAAACAGCGTATGTGAGAATTAAAGTTGCACTGGGTGTTTGTAAGCTGACGTTCATGCGTAACCTGTGAGCGCGAGCGAAACTAGAGCATGACCCTAATAGTATCAGACTTGACTAGCTGTTGCACAAGTTGAATTCTCAGGCCAGGGGGGGGAGGGGGGGGGGCGCCAGCACCCTAGGTTCTAGATTCCGGTATTGCCAGCTCGATCTTGATTTCATATATAACCCATGTCGCATTCGTAAAAGCGACTCCACCACAAGGTATATTTAGCAAGCTAGCTTTACGTTGCTCTGACACTCAGGGTAGGCGCCAGTAGTCTGTTACAGAAACGTTAAAAGGCATCCTGTGAAACTTTCGCCAATCACTTGGTACCCGATCTTCGCCACAGAAACCCTTTATATAAATTTGACAGTTATAATAAGGGGGGTGGGGAGGGTTCACACCTACTGTACATGTACTGTACTACAGGTAGGTGCAGAGTAGTGTGTATTCTTGTCTATATGTTATGTTAAATGTAAGTCAAGCTTTAGACTTACACTGGATTCCCATGCCAAGAACCATCCAACAGGATCGCTCTAACTCCATGGAGATTCACGTTAAATTGCTATCAACTTTAGCAGCTTAAATGTCTGTCACGTCCTTCGAAAAACAGTTACGGGACATATAATTAACTTTCATGCACGCTCGGCCTCCTGTAATTAATTAATTGTCCCCAAACAGCTTCAGTAGGCTTGACAGCCATTTAAGCTGCTTAAGTTGATAGTAATTTAGTGGTAATCCCTGTGGAGATAGATTGTTGGTATGATATCTCTGGGAATTCTGGTCTCCTACTCAAGATTCCCTGCCAGATGATTACAGCTGGAACCCTGCAGTTAACTCCCTTTACTGCTGGGCCACCAGTTTAGGGCAGTTGGGGGGGGGGGGGGGGGGGAGAGGGAGTGGATCCAGTTTCATTATACAGTGTTAAAGTGGATGAATTATCACAGGGGCTCCAGTGGCAGGTTTAGAGTGGGGGTCAGGGGTGTCCTTATCAGGGGCAGATTTAGGGCGTCTTCTGGGTCTTCCGGAAGACGGTCAGATTTTCAAGCTTACATTGAGGGGTATCTAATATTTTCTGTCGGAAGACGGTCAAAAATAGAGGATGGATAAACAAATATAATTTGGAAGACTGTCAGAAAATATCTCTGGATCCGCCGCTGCTTATATGCACTTATATTTTGGTTTCTGAAAAACACATCACACCAATATTCCCCTCTTGAAATTTTGGCTAGTTGATTGGAAGTTCTGAACGGTTCCAACGGGCACTGTTTGCCCTCCAAAACACCCAAAAATTTTCGGAGCCCTTAATTGAGCAGGCCCTAAACCCCAAGCCAAGGTGGTGATGGTTGGCTTAGCAGGCATGTTGTTCTGGACCACCCTTCGAATAATTCTGAATCCACCGCAGGGCTCACATGCAGTGAAAATGTGTACACTATGTTAGGAGTCCCTGATATCAGGCGGTAGTGAACCACTACTACTATTAGTATTCATATATATCAGTACTTGCATAAAACTTCCACTTTGGATTCATTTTATGGCATTTGAATAGAAAAAGTGAACTTTCCCTGATGGCAGTGATGCCATTCTTTTGGGGGGTTCTGCCTTTATTTTCCTCTTTTACTAGACAATGCGGTGAAATTGATGAAATTGATGACTTTGATTAGTTTGAAGTTTTAATTCTTTGTTTGCTGAAGCTAATTTTTAATTTTTTTTCAATTTTTTTCAGGTGGAGACAAAATCATAAATTTCACAGATCACGTCAAAGACAGATGCCATGTTCAAGTGTGGCCTCTTGATACTGACTTCGCCTCTCTCAAAGATCCCACAATGCATCAGTGCACTTCTGTCTGCATCAATGAAATATGTCAGCGAGACACTGTATATACACATAGAGCCTGGATGGAAGGGCGGGCCAAGTCTAGCCAATCAAAAATTTGGATCTTTTCAGTGCAGACCTACAGTTTTGATTCGTAATGTTACAACTGGTGTGTATGCCAATGCCGCCTCCACGTGCGGTCAGCTTGACGTGCGGGTTTTACTGAGTTCCTTTACTGCCAAACCGGCACCCCATTCTCAACAAACATTAAGACGAGCATATGACATCATTCTCACAGATCATAAGCCCCATGCAGGATTTGCTGAACAAGTGCTTGAAAAATACCCACTAGCCATCATCCCCAGTGTTCAAGTCCTGGAGGCAAATACCTCATTGGGTGGATGTCATACAGAGAGAGGTGATAATCTCAGCACTGAAGACGTACCACTTGGGACCTATGACTATATTGCACTGGGAGGTACATTTGACAGACTCCATGGTGGACATAAAATCCTCCTCTCCGAAGCCTGCCTGATTTGTGATAGATTCCTCACTGTTGGAGTGACAGATGGAGACATGAATGCCAGTAAGTTATCCCTGGTCGGCTGATGACAAAGCATTTTTTTTTCTTTTTTTTTTTTGCCATTTTGGAAGGACATTTGACATTTCAAATAAAAATGTTTGAAAGGGGTAACAAAGTTGGAAGGCCCATTTTTTGGTGTGTTTATTCGATTATATGTGAGTTAGATTTTTTAGGCCCAAAATTAGGATTAAAAAGATAGTTAAGGAAAATAGTAATAGTTAGTGAGCATCTGGGAAGGACATAAAATGGACATGAAATTTTAACTTTTAACTTCAACACCAAAACTCCGCTCTGTCTATGAAGGTATTTTAAAAATCAAGTCAAAATATGAATATTTGATTATTTCACTTTCTAGATTCATATAAAGTGTTTTTGAAAAAAAAAAAATCATTAAGAAGTTTTGCTTAATTAAATTTAAGAATCTGAGAAGGACGCATCTGGTAAGGACATTTTGTCCATTGCTAAATAAAATGTTAAACAAGGCTAATATTATGATATATTTACCAACACAAGTTTGATGAATAATACCAAAGACAAATGTCTTTCCATGATTATATATTTCATCTTCAAATGTGTTACAGTAATATTATATGTGGCTGTGATAGGAGTTCTCATCTGCTCTGATCAGATCATCTTGAAATATAGTGTTGGTACATTTCAGAGAAAATCTTACCAAACTCATTACAGTAATTCAAATACAGTATATAATAAATTGTCTGAATTGTTATAACTTCAAAATTATTCCTCTAAATGTTATGTGTTTCAGTTTAAAAGTGCTTCTATATATATATAATAACTGTGCATTCTGAGTACAAGATTTTCATGAAAGGCATAAGAGTTTAGAACTCATTGGTCACCTGACCTCTTATTGTCCAATCAGAATGCCTCACGTGTTTCCACAGTGCTTGGTGTCTTGATTAATGATTATAAATTCTGATTTTGATTTTAAGTTTTTATTTTTTAAAACCAGGCTCTGTTACTCGAAAGCATCACAAACTGCAATAGAGATATCACCTTTCGTTTCGAGGCTGTTATATGGAGTGAGTAATTGCTGATTTATGGAATTAAGACACTATAACGCTAGGTCGCATTTTGCGATGCTTTCGAGTTACAGAGCTGATATACCTTGATGTTATAACATAATCAAAGTGACACTGTTATAGGCCCAGCACCAAATTTTTTTTTTTTTTTTTATGGTCCGCCTGTATAGAAAATTTAAATTTTGCATTGTCATGATGAAATATGAAATGAACTAAATGAGTATAAGATGGTTATTTTAGTGTAAAACAATGTTAGTAATGTACTAGTAGGGTACTCTCTTATCTGCTCTAGGCTCTGGAAACCTTGCATTTTTTTAAATAAATTGCTACCACTAGCTTACTCTGGTTAAAAAAAAAAAAAAAAAAAAACACACACACACACACAACACATAAGTCAGTTTTCTTCTTTTATTTTCTGAGACACTATACTGCACAAGTCACATCTACTTTGAGACTGTTGAAAATAAAATATTTTTTGTGCATTGAAAGAGGCTAAAAGGCTGTACATTTATGCTTTCTAATTGCAAACATGATTACGTAACAGGCAGGGAAAATTGGACAAACTTGACTGGCTGACCTTGACCCCCAAATGGTCAAAGAAGACACCTTTAAATGGCAAAAGAGCAAAATTTAACAACAGAAAATTACAAAATTAAAAAAAAAAAAACAAAATAAATACTAATAATTAATAAAAATATACATGTGTAAATACATATATATATATATATATATATATATGTCCCTCCCCCACTTTAAATAATCCTGGATCCACTCCTGAACACTGTAAACAGTTTGGTGTTATAAATAATTAAATATAGTTTCTCTTCCATACTGCTATCTCAGCTGTCCATAAGGCAAACTACACCTCACATTCTGGTTTCTTCAACCTATCCTTGTTATCAATGGTAACATAAGGTTTATATATACATCAGTATTGTTATATATTTACACAATTATACAATATGATCAGTAATTATTGTAAGTACTGGAATGTATTTACTGCGCCCGTATCTTCTGCCACTACCAGCTGGCCAGCAGGGTTGATGGCTAATGCTACAGGATTCCACAACCCATCCTCCTCAGTGGTAATGTATCTGATAAACTGTCCCTGTGGATCCAGTGCCACTATCCTGTGGTTATTCCAGTCAGCAATGAAGATGTGACCATAGCTGTCTGTGCACACTTCCAGTGGTCTTCTCAGCTGACCTTGAACACAGTCCCAAGTGCCACCATAATGGTACAGATAATCACCAGTAGGTGACAGCACATGTACACATTCACTACCCCAGTCTGATATCACAATGTTATCATTCACACTGTTAACTGTGATGTACACTGGGTATCTACACATACTGAGTGGAATATTGTTCAGTAGCTGTCCACTGTCTGCATGAAATATGAAGATGGATTTGTTTTCACTATCACAAACCATCACATGACCTTGTCTATTCAGTGTAATACCCCAGGGATCCTTCAGCTGACCCTGGCCCATGGTTGTCACCTGCTGACCTCTGATGGAGTACACTTTTACACATTTGTCACCCCCTGATATTATATACAGGTGACCAGTCTGTGACACAGCCACATCCCTTGGCCTGTTTACTTTAATGTCATATTGAAACTCTCCAGTATGCATGAATATGTTTGTTCTGTCAGTAAAAGTATCCACAAAAAATACATGTTCCTCATCTGTGGCCAACCCTGATATGAAAACATTTCTGTTATCTTTCGGCTTAGCATTGATGGAATGCACATGCCTGGCCTTATCTAAGAAAACAGGGGGATTTGGTGTTGATTTTAGATTTGTTCCTTGTCCAGGTAATGGAGGTTGTGATTGTATTGTCACCTGTCCTAACATGGCTTCCAGTCCAGCTACAGATATTTCACCAGGGCTGTAGGATATCTGTGCTGGCGTGTCTAGAGTTGGGACAGGTGTTTTCTCCATTGCTGCAAGTCTTTCTATCAGAGGTTTTGCATGAACCATGATATCAGAGTCAGCGCCATTAGTGATAAGTTCCTGGGCAAAGTCACAGGCACTGTGCAAGGATGTATGGTGGAATTCAAGGATATCTTTGTTTGCCTCCTTCTGCTTCTTCATGTTGTTGTAATGAGAATTCACCTCTGATATCATCAATTCTTCCTTCTGATCAATGAAATTGTGCATACTCTGAGCTTGTTTTTTGATGTTTTTGACAGTGGCTATCCTGATGTGAGAGTCCTCTTTTTCATTGGCTGTTTCTTTGGCAACTGCCTCTTTTAACCTGCTTGACATTTTCAAAGTTCTAACAAGAGCAGCTTTAATTTTATCTCTGTTGCTTTTTGCAACTTTATCAACTGGCACAATACCATGTCTGTAGTGTTCAGTTAATGCACAGTCACCACATACAACAATATTATCATCTTCACAGTAATATTTTAATTCATTACCTGGATGTTTCTTACAACTGATGTTCTTCTGTGCAGTGGCCTGTGTCAATGTTGCTACATTGGCCTGTTCCTCTTCTAATGCCTGTCCATCTTGTTGCTTGGTTATGATATCCTTGGCCTTGGTAATAATAAAATTCTTTTTCAGTTGGTTAAGTCCACCAGCTGGAAACTTGAGCGCTTCTCTACAAATGGGACACTGAAATGCCCTATTTGGAGTCAGAGTGCGTGTAGCATGGTCACATATACAACCATAGCAAAATGTATGGTAGCAAGGCAACACACGGGGGTCCTCATACTCTCCCAGACAGACGCTGCATGTTAAGATATTTTCTTTGATATCTGCTGCTAGTGCTTCTGCCATATCTGACTGTCTTTTTGTTATTAATAATTTACAAAGGATGATTGAGTTGGTTTTGTTGCCTAAGTTGAATTACTTAGTCTAAAAATTGTCAAAAATGCTCAGACTCATTCTACATCCAAATACTGCAGCTATGATCAACAGAGATCACAGTTATATGTTACCACTTCTTCTGTGTTCAGCCTTTTACTGGCTTATTGTCATATTTAACAAAACTGTTTTTAAAATGAAATCTACATTCTGTTTCTTCCGTTCCCTTTTAGAACTGCTCAAAAGCAGAGGAAAAATGGCGTCTGTTTATTACCTGACTCTGACCTCAACATAGCGACATTGAGGACAAAAGTAACGTCTATTGTGTATTGGCTGTTGACGTAGTTGTATTATGTTTACTCTAAAGCAAAGCTATAGAAATAGAGCCATGAATGCAGGTATTTTTTGTCTCGCTTTATGTGAAGGAAATCTGCTCGAATTTAATGGGTGTTACATTTAGTACAGACGGATATTTGGTCAAAGTTTCCTCACACATATATGTATGTCTGTATTTATGTGAACACACTCACACAAGCATGCACATCTACATGCACGCACACACACACGCACAAATGGATACACTTAACCATTGCATTATCATTTGTAACTGCATGTTTTTAACATAATATTTTCAAGATGCAGTGTAATTATTTCTCACCAATTGTTAAGATAGAAGGAAATGTTGAAAACTAATTATTTCTTGAAGCTGAACTCACAATAGCAGCAAACACACAAAGAATATTGAGTCTGGTGACACAGTTGGAGTATAATTTACCCTGAGCTCAGGTTAAACAAATAGAACCATGTCTGCAGGTACATGTAATATTATATTATTATATGGTAAAGTATGTGAAAGAAAACACCCAAAGTGGCCCAGTAAAGGTGACAGGGACTTCCAAATATTCAGGAAAACTAGAAAGTTTCATCTGATCTGATATGTATGTAGTTTATTGTAGTTTATTGTACCAGAAGCGTAGGCGCTGGTGGTGGTTGTCATGGTTTTAGTCCTGACCTGTCTCGCCCACTGGCTCCTCTGGATCGCCCACCATTTCACCATATTACTGCTTTTCCTCCTAGAGAACATAAGCCTGGGTACCCAGCTCTTGGAGTTAGGTCACATACTAGTATAATCTCAACTAGATCCACGTAAATTTTTAGCTTTGTTGGTGCACAGGGCTAGGTTTGGTGCTACTGCAATGCACCCATGTCCAAAATTATCAAGTTAAATACTATGTAAATATCTCCCAAACCGAAGAAATTATGGGGAAAAAATTACACAGATAGCTGACCAAAAGTCATATATAGAGATTTCAAATGAAATATGCCCTTGGATTTGATCTTTATTTCAAGGTTAAACAGGCCAAAAATGTTATTATTATTTTTTATTTATTTATTTATTTATTTATTTATTATTATTATTATTATTATTATTTTATTTTGCTAAAAATTATTTGTAGTGATTATCAGAAAGTATACAATCCTTACCTATAATATTATGAGCAGGTATTACACTTAAGGTCATCTTTCATTTCGTAACTTTAAGATGAAGCGGTGCATTTTCCTGGGAGAAGCACCCATAAGATGTCGAAATGAAAAGTCTCTAATTCTGGAACCTAAATGCTAGGGACCTCTTGTTTTCTATATATTTGTGTTTTTTATTTTATTTTTATCTTTATTTTTTACTAATTTTGCTTAAATTCCATGTAGTTAAGGCTATGCTTATGGCTTTGCTGTCTAGTAGAGAAACTACTCCTTATGTTTTGTTTCCTACAATCTATCCACGTTATCAATGGTAACATATTAAGGTTTTTATTAACATCACTTTGTGATTTTTAAGATTATAGTTTTTATTTTCTACACTAAATAAAAACTGTTGGTCACAGTCAGTGCATGTTACCAATAAGTATAGCTTTAATTTACTGTAGAAAGTGGAAAGTTAAATATTATAAACAGACTACACAGATGAATTTCCATCAGAATATCAGTACTGTGCCAGTGTGGCATTTATTTACACCAGTGTTCAATGTAATCAGTATTTACTGTAAGTACTGGAATGTCTTAACTGTGCCCCACTGTTCCGCCACTACCAGCTGTCCTGAAGGATTGATGGCTAATGCTACAGGAAGCTTTAATCCATCATCCTTAGTGGCAATGTATCTGATAAACTGCCCCTGTGAACTCAATGCCACTATCCTGTGGTTAGCAGTGTCAGCAATGAAGATGTGACCATAGCTGTCTGTGCACACTCCCTGTGGAATTTTCAGCTGACCATCACCACTGCCTTGTGTGCCATACTGGTACAGCTGATTGCCAGTAGGTGACAGCACATGTACACAGGGTTTGTCCCAGTCCATGTCTGATATCACAATGTTATCATTCACACTGTTCACTGTGATGTACGCTGGTATTTTACACAAACTGAGTGGAATATTATTCAGGAGCTCCCCACTGTCTGCATGGAATGTGAAGATGGACTTCTTTCCTCCATCACAAACCATGACATGACCTTGTCTGTTCAGTGTAACACCCCATGGCTTCTGAAGCACACCACAACCCATGGATGTAAGGTACTCACCTGTGGTGGAGTACACTTGAACACACTTGTCAGCTGATCCATGTGATGATATATACAGGCGACCAGTCTGGGATAAAGCCAAATCGTATGGTTTGTATACTGCAAAGACATGCGTGAAATCTCCAGCATTTGTGAACTTTTTTGTTCTTCCACTGGAAAAATCCAAAGCAAAGACATGTGTCCCATCTGCGGCTAACCCCATTATGATGATTCGTGTGTCATCCTTTAGCTTAGAACTAAAAGAATATACACACTTTACCTTCTCTAAAAAAACAGGATGAGGTGCTGACGTTGGATTTGTTCCCTGTCCAGCTAATGGAGACTGTGACTGTACTGTGACCTGCCCTAACATGGCTTCCCGTCCAGCAGCAGGTATCTTACCTGGGCTGTAAGATATTTTTTCAGGTGTGTCTGGAGTTGGGACAGGTGTTTTCTCCATTGTAACTTGCTTAACTGATGAAATACGATGTCCTCCATGTTCTTTTGCTAAACACTTTTCACATATAACTGTATTATCATCTTCACAGTAATATTTAAATTCATTTTTAGGATGTTTCTTACAACTGATGGTCATCTGTGCAATGGCCTGTGTCACTGCTGCTACTTTGGCCTGTTTCTCTTCTAATATCTGTCCAACTTGCTGCTTGGTTATGATATCCTTGGTCTTGCTTAAGACGAAATTCTTTTTCAGTTGATTAAGTCCACCAGCTGGAAACGAGATCTCTTCTCTGCAACTTGGGCACAAAAATGTCCTATTTGGATTTTGACTATGCGTAGCATGGTCGGATATACAACCATAGCAAAATGTATGGTAGCAAGGCAGCACACGGGGGTCCTCGTACTCTCCCAGACAAATACTGCATGTTAAGATATTCTCTTTGATATCTGCTGCTAGTGCTTCTGCCATATCTGACTGTCTTTTTGTTAATGTACAAATATAGATGGTTGAGTTGGTTTAGTTGCCTAAGTTGAATGTCAAAAATGCTCAGTTTCTTTCTACTCCCAAGTGCTGCAGCTTTGATCAACAGAGATCACAATTAAATGTTACTGTTGCTGTGTGTGCTCTAAGACTGGCTTACTGTCATATTTATAGCAAATTATTTAAAAATAATCCCAGAAATATCCTCTTTCTTCCTGTCCCTGTTAAAACTGCAGAAAGGTAGAGAAAATATGGAGTCTGTTTATTACCTGACGCTTAACCCAACATATCGACTTTGAGAACAAAAGAAACATCTGTTGTGTATTGGCTGTTGACGTAGTTGTATTGTGTTTACTCTTAAGCACAGGCTATAGAAATGAAGCCATGAATGCAGGTATTTTTGTCTCGCTTTATGTGAAGGAAACCTGCTCGTATTTAAAGGCCCTTACATTTATTACAGAGGGCTATTTGGTCAAAGTTTCCTCTCTCTCTCTCTCTCTCTCTTTCACACACACATGACACACACACACACACACACACACACACACACACACGTGGACATACTCACCCGTGCATGTACACACACACATGCATATAACACACACAACCATTGCATTATCATTAGTTACTGCACCTTTTAAACATATTTCTTACAGTATGCAGTGTAATTATTTCTCACCTCTCTGATTTATTGATAAGGTAGAAGAAAATATTGATAACTGATTATTAAGCTGACCTCACCACAACAGCTAGCACATACTAAGTAAGCAATATTGAGTCTGGTGACACAGTTGTAGCTCAGGTTAAACAAATAAAACCATGTCTGCCAGTATTTTTATTTTGCTGTGTAGCACTAAAGCCCATGAAAGAGATCCCCCAAAGTGGCCCAGTGAATGTAACAGGGGCTTCCAATCACTGAGGGAAACTAGAAATTTGCCTCTGATATTTTTGGTTTTCCATCACATGTAGCTGTTTATATAATGGATTTCATTTTATAGAGCCAAAGAAAAACATTTGAAACAGATATGAAGTGCATGTACTAGATATTGTTGAAGTTATTTGAGGACATGCAAATTTTTTTACTTATATTTTAATAGATAAATGCCATGAGCAGTGTTGTTAACCCCCCCCCCCCCAACATAACTCACTATCCCTTAACTAGCAGCATTTTAATTAATTTTTTTTTTTTTTTTTTTTTTTTTTTGAAGGGGGAGGGATGAAGGGGTGTATTAGGGTTCAAAAGTCGGTAATAAAATTTGCTACACAAATATATGACACATTGTTGTGTGATATAATAAAAATGAAGTACATAGGTATAGATCTCTTTTGGGCTCTGGCATTTCGCTACCAGTGTGGCAAGCAACAATTTATAGCTGTTGTATTGACCTATCTTAATCCGCTTCCAGGGGTATGATGCCTGCCGTTTCCAAAATACTGAGACAGTTTGGTCAGCAATTAACATACAAAGACCAGCAGTCACTATTTACAAATTTTGGAGTGGGGCAATTGAGTTTTTGTACACATTGCACACATACACTCTCTATTAAAATTACAGAGTTAAATAAAATGTACAAAATCCTAAAGATACAGATTGATAATTATCATTAACAAAAAATAAATAAATAAATAAATAAATAAATAAATAAATAAATAAATAGATGAGTAAATGAACAAATAAATAGATGATTTAATAAAATAAACTCAGTATTGTTAAGATATATGATTTTAATCATTAAAATATATGAATTTTGATATTTATTTTTACTTTTAATGATTAATCCCATTACCCCCACCCCAGACCCCCCTCTGCTCAGGCATAACTTGGCGACCAAATTACATATTCACAGTTAGGACTCAGTGTACCCAATATACTGGGGGAAACCCCTGTTTGAAAGGCAAATATGATTTGAAAAGTGTTCTATATTTATTTCAGAAAAGTCCCTGCCAGAGCTGATACAGCCAACAGAAGAGAGACTGGCAGTTGTGCAGGATTTCCTGCAGGACGTCAAGCCGTCGTTAGAGTACGACATTGTCCCCATCGTGGACCCCTACGGCCCGACCATCCTGCGCCCTGAGTACCAGTGTCTGGTGGTTAGCCAGGAAACAGTGAAAGGATTTCATATGGTGAACCAGAAGAGGGAGGAGAAGGTGTGAACAGCAGGGTGTTTGTGTTTGGGTTTGTGTTCATGTATCCACATGGGCATGGGGGGAGGGGGATGTTTAAAAAGCAAAGTGAATTTCTTCAGGCAAACAGCCCAAATTGAGTTGATTACTTACAATATTACCATCTGTCTGTAGTATCTTCGTCTGTGAAATTTTGGGCTAAAATATGATCCATATTTGTATGTCTTGCATAAATGATTGGGAATGTAATGAAGATTCCTGAGTTCTGTAAAAAATGTTAAAAAGTACGTAGAGATCTTAGCAAAGGTTGTGGCGGTGGTATAAAGTTGATATTAAAAGCTTTTTAGTAATTATAACCTACAGTCAATGAATATTTTAAGTGGTATTTAGATAATGGTTATACATCATTTTATTATGCATAGGATATGAGTCCACAAGAATTCCATGTGATAGACCTTGTAGAGAACACACAGTTTTAACATTATTGTATTGTATTATATCCTAGGGTATGAGTCCACTTGAAGCCCATGTGATAGAACTTGTAGAAGACAAACATCATGCTCCAGAAGAAGAGACCAAGATCAGTTCCTCGTCACTCAGGAAGAGACTTCTGGGAACTTTGTTGGCGGAGCCTAAGGTATTGAAACAGTCAGTGTGTGTTAACAATCAATCTTCTGCTTGAGAAGTGCCCATGTCTAACAGTACTGAGACTATATAGCAAACAAAACCATCTTCTGTTTAAATATTTATTTAGTATTTAATTTGAGAAAAAAAGATTTGTAGGTTGAAAATCACATCAAATTTAAGTACTTATGAAATTATTTGATAAGTATGTAAATTGTTTGATTTTTCTGCCAAAAATAAAGTGAGTTTTTTTTTTTTTTTTTTTTTTTTTTTTTTTTTTTTTTTACTTATCAGTTTAGTCACAGTCTTCACAGTTGTGGACAACTGTTATTATTATTATTATTATTATTATTATTATTATTACTATTCCAGCAGAAGTCGGGTCTACCAGACCAGCCATATATAATAGGTCTAACAGGAGGTATAGCCAGTGGCAAGTCATCTGTGTGTAGAAGACTAGAGGCTCTGGGAGCTGTAATAGTGGACTGTGATAAACTAGGTGTGTGGATACAGATTCTGTCAGTAATTACAAGATTGGGTCAATTTAAAATTGGTATATGTGTGAACATGTTTTGACGGTATGGACAGTTTTCAAGCAGTGTTAGTACGTGTGGCTTTGTTTATCAGGAGTTAATATTATTCTTAATATTTTGTTGAGGTCAGTTTTCACCATGGACATGATGAGCGAGGTTCAGACCTAGGCTTGTTCAGAATAACATTGCCACTGTTCAGTTTGTTACAACTTACAGAACATATAACACATATGATATGATATGATATGATATGATATGATATGATATGATATGATATGATTGTTACAACTTACAGAACATATAACACATATGATATGATATGATTTGTGTTAAACAACCATTTCTATCAATTCCTTTGTATGCATGCTTACAAATTTTACAACTAGGCCTGTTTTGTTTACAAGGAATTGCTATATAGCAAGTTGAATACAAAATCTTACTATTTACTTCTATGTTAACCCTAGATAGCTGTAATGCAGAATGATTGCTAGTCTACTAAACAATAATTGAAAAATTTCAAAGTTAAACTATGCCTGCATTTTTGGAAACGTTATTCTTACTTTAGGTCACAAAGCCTACGTAAAGGGCACTGAAACATTTCACAAAGTGGTGGAAGTGTTTGGTGAGGACATTGTTGGTGAAGACGGGGAAATTGACAGGCGTCAACTTGGTGGAAAAGTGTTTAAAGACAAGGTATGGTATATGGAATGATGGGCGGGGTGGGGGAGGGGCATGTAGGGAGATTGACAGGTGCCAACTTGGTGGAAAAGTGTTCAAAGACAAGGTACGATAAATGGAATGATGGGCGGGTTGGGGAGGGGCATGTAGGGAGATTGACAGGTGCCAAATTGGTGGAAAAGTGTTCAAAGACAATGTATGATATATGGAATGATGGGCGGGGTGGGGGAGGGGCATGTTGGGAGATTGACAGGTGAGAACTTGGTGGAAAAGTGTTCAAAGACAAGGTAATGTCTATAAACTGATAAAAAAGTATTAGCAATTAGGCAGAAAAAAAAACTACACCGCAGTGAATTTGCTGGTTATACTTCTTGAAGTGACTTTCAGAAGCATTCACTTTTTTACCTACTTTATACGAAAAAAGTCTATGCCCATGTTATTTTACCCAGAGCTACCACTTGTCTGTTTATTTTTACATATTCTTTAGTTTTATTTTGATAAATTAGAGGCATGTACATTGGTTGCAAAAAGTTTGCTAGATGTATGTCATAAATGGCTCAATCTTTATATGATATACCCATTTCAATTTACTCCCTGCAATAATGACAATTCCCTTATACATGTGATTTCACCCCCACAGAGCCAGATGGACCTGTTGAACTCCCTAGTCTGGCCGTCCATAGCCACACTGGCCAAGCAGCAGATCATGGAGTCCTCCAGACAGGGGAAGGGGGTGGTGGTCCTGGATGCCGCNTGGTCCAACTGACCATTACCACTGCCTTCCTGACCAACACCTCTGCCTTCTGTGCTGCCATACTGGTACAGCTGATCACCTGTAGGTGACAGCACATGTACACAGTGTCTGCTCCTGTCTGATATCACAATGTTATCATTCACACTATTTACTGTGATGTACTCTAGTCTTCCACACATACTGAGTGGAATAGTGTTCAGGAGCCGCCCACTGTCTGCATGGAATGTGAAGATAGCTCTCTTTCTACCACCACAAACCATTACATGACCTTGTCTGTTCAGTGAAATACCCCTTGGATTCGACAGATGACTACGATTCATGGTTGTCATTGATTTCAATTTTTTAAAGAACATTTGGACACACCTGTCACCTAAGGATGTTATAAACAGGACAGTCTGTGATACAGCCACATCATATGGACATTGAACTTTAGTATCAAATTTAAACTCTCCAGCATGTGTGAATATTTTTACTTTATTTCTGCTTTGGTCCACTACATAGACTTGCTCCTCATCTATGGCCAACCCATTTAGTTGAAACAATGCGTTTTTACACTCATCTTTCAGCACAGAATTGAAGGAATGCACACATTCTGCCTTCTTTAAGAAAACTGAAGGGTAGAATGCTGAGTTAAAATTTGTTCCCTGCTCAGCTAATAGAGGTTGTGACTGTACTGTACTATTACCTGGTATGTAAGATATCTGTGCTGGTGTGTCTGGAGTTGGGACAGGTGTTTTCTCCATCTCTGCCAGTCTTTCTATCAGAGATTTTGCATGAACCATGATATCAGAGTCAGTGCCATTAGTGATAAGTTCCTGGGCAAAGTCACAGGCACTGTGCAAGGAAGCATGGTGGAATTCAAGGTTTTCCTTGTTTGCCTTGATAGTGGCTGCTGTGATTTGAGAGTTGCTTGATTCTGTGATTATTCCCTTAGCCACTGCCTCTTTAAACCTGTTTAATGTTTTCATGGTTTTTACAAGAGCAACTTTAATTTTATCTCTGTTGATTTTTGCAACTTGTTCAACTGATGAAATACGATGCCCACTATGTTCTGTTGCTATACACCTGCTACATATAACAGTATCGTCATCTTCACAATAATATTTGAATTTTTTATTAGGATGTTTCTCACAACTGTTGGTCATCTGTGCAGTGCCCTGTGCCACTGCTGCTACATTGGTCTGTTCCTCTTCTAATTTCTGACTCTCTTGCTGCTTGGTTATGATATCCTTGGCCTTGCTGAAGACAAAATTCTTCTTCAGTTGATTAAGTCCACCAGCTGGAAACTGGATCTCTTCTCTACAAATTGGACACAGAAATGTTCTATTTGGAGTCAGGGTGTGCGTAGCATGGTCAGATATACAACCATAGCAAAATGTATGGTAGCAAGGCAACACACGGGGGTCTTCATACTCTTCCAGACAGATGTTGCATGTCAAGATATTATTTTTGATATCTGCTGCTAGTGCTTCTGCCATGACTGACTGTCCCTTTGTTAATTTACAAAGGATGATTGAGTTGGTTTTGTTGCCTTAGTTGAACAATTCAGTCTAAAAATTGTCAAAAATGTGCATGCAGTTTCTTTCTGCTCCCAAATGCTGCAGCTTTGATCAACAGAGATTACAGTTATATGTTACCACTTACTAGTGCTGTGTTCAGCCTTTAACTGGCTTATTGTCATATTTATCACAACTGTTTTAAAAATGAAATCTATGTCCTGTTTCTTCCCGTCCCTTTTAAAACTGCTCAGAAGCAGAGGAAAAATGGCGTCTGTTTATTACCTGACGCTGACCTCAACATAGCAACTTTGAGGACAAAAGTAACATCTATTGTGCATTGGCTGTTGACGTAGTTGTATTATGTTTACTCTTGAGCAAAGCTATAGAAATAGAGCCATGAATGCAGGTATTTTTGTCTCGCTTTATGTGAAAGAAACCTGCTTAAATTTAATTGGTGTTACATTTAGTACCGACGGATATTTGGTCAAAGTTTCCTCACACATTTATGTATGTATATATACATATATGTGAACACACTCACACAAGCATGCACATCCGTATACATGCACGTACACACACGCGCACAAATGGATACACATAACCATTGCATTATCATTAATTACTGCATGTTTTTAACATAATATTTTCAAGATGCAGTGAAATTATTTCTCACCAGTTGATAAGATAGAAGGAAATGTTGAAAACTGATTATTTCTTGAAGCTGAACTCACAATAGCAGCAACCACACCTAGAATATTGAGTCTGGTGACACAGTTGTAGTATAATTTACCCTGAGCTCAGGTTACACAAATAGGACTATGTTTGCAGGTAATATTATATTACTGTATGGTAAAGTATGTGAAAGAAAACACCCAAAGTGGCCCAGTAAAGGTGACAGGGACTTCAAAATATTCAGGAAAACTAGAAAGTTTCATCTGATCTGATATGTATGTACATGTAGTTTATTGTACCAGAAGCGTAGGTGCTTGTGGTTGTCATGCTTTTAGTCCTGACCCGTCTCACCCACTGGCTCTTTCGGATCACCCACCATTTCACCATTACCGCTTTTCCTCCTAGAGAACATAAGCCTGGGTACCCAGCTCTTGGATTTAGGTCACATACTAGTGTAATCTCAACTAGATCCACGTTAATTTTTAGCTTTGTTGGTGCACAGGGTTAGGTTTGGTTCCCCCGCAATGCACACATATCCAATATTATCAAATGAAATGCTATGTAAATATCTCCCAAACTGAAGAAATTATGGGAAAAAAATTACACAGATAGCTGACCGAAAGTCATATATAGAGATTTCAAATGAAATATGCCCTTGGATTTGATCTTTATTTCAAGGTTAAACAGGCCAAAAATGTTATTATTATTTTTTATTTATTTATTATTATTATTATTATTATTATTATTATTATTATTATTATTATTATTATTTTATTTTGCTAAAAAATATTTGTTGTGATTATCAGAAAGTATACAATCCTTACCTATAATATTATGAGCAGGTATTACACTTAAGGTCATCTTTTATTTCTTAACTTTAAGGTGAATCGGTGCATTTTCCCGGGAGAAGCACCCATTAGATGTTGAAATGAAAAGTCTCTAATTCTAGAACCTAAATGCTAGGGACCTCTTGTTTTCTATATATTTGAGTTTTTTTTTTTTTTTTTTTTTTTTTTTTTTTTACTAATTTTGCTTAAATTCCATGTAGTTAAGGCTATGCTTATGGCTTTGCTGTCTAGTAGAGAAACTATACCCCATGTTCTGTTTCCTACAATCTATCCACGTTATCAATGGTAACATATTAAGGTTTTTATTAACATCACTTTGTGATTTTTAAGATTATAGTTTTCACTTTCTACACTAAATAAAAAATGTTGGTCACAGTCAGTGCATGTTACTGATAACTATAGCTTTAATTTACTGTAGAAAGTGAAAAGTTAAATATTATAAACAGACTACACAGATGAATTTCCATCAGAATATCAGTACTGTGCCAGTGTGGCATTTATTTACACCAGTGTTCAATGTAATCAGTATTTACTGTAAGTACTGGAATGTCTTAACTGTGCCCCATTGTTCCGCCACTACCAGCTGCCCTGCAGGATTGATGGCTAATGCTACAGGAAGCTTTAACCCATCATCCTTAGTGGCAATGTATCTGATAAACTGCCCCTGTGAACTCAATGCCACTATCCTGTGGTTAGCAGTGTCAGCAATGAAGATGTGACCATAGCTGTCTGTGCACACTCCCTGTGGAATTTTCAGCTGACCATCACCACTGCCTTGTGTGCCGCCATACTGGTACAGCTGATCGCCAGTAGGTGACAGCACATGTACACAGGGTTTGTCCCAGTCCATGTCTGATATTACAATGTTATCATTCACACTGTTTACTGTGATGTATGCTGGTATTTTACACATACTCAGTGGAATAGTGTTCAGGAGCTCCCCACTGTCTGCATGGAATGTGAAGATGGACTTCTTTCCTCCATCACAAACCATGACATGACCTTGTCTGTTCAGTGTAACACCCCATGGCTTCTGTAGCACACCACAGCCCATGGATGTTAGGTACTCACCTGCGGTGGAGTACACTTGGACACACTTGTCAACTGACCCATGTGATGATATATACAGGCGACCAGTCTGGGATAAAGCCAAATCGTATGGTTTGTATACTGCAAAGACATGCATGAAATCTCCAGCATTTGTGAACTTTTTTGTTCTTCCACTGGAAAAATCCAAAGCAAAGACGTGTGTCCCATCTGCGGCTAACCCCATTATGATGATTCGTGTGTCATCCTTTAGCTTAGAACTAAAAGAATATACACACTTTACCTTCTCTAAGAAAACAGGATGAGGTGCTGACGTTGGATTTGTTCCCTGTCCAGCTAATGGAGACTGTGACTGTACTGTGACCTGCCCTAACATGGCTTCCCGTCCAGCAGCAGGTATCTTACCTGGGCTGTAAGATATTTTTGCAGGTGTGTCTGGAGTTGGGACAGGTGTTTTCTCCATTGTAACTTGCTTAACTGATGAAATACGATGTCCTCCATGTTCTTTTGCTAAACACTTTTCACATATAACTGTATTATCATCTTCACAGCAATATTTAAATTCATTTTTAGGATGTTTCTTACAACAGATGGTCATCTGTTCAATGGCTTGTGTCACTGCTGCTACTTTGGTCTGTTCCTCTTCTAATGTCTGTCCAACTTGCTGCTTGGTTATGATATCCTTGGTCTTGCTTAAGACGAAATTCTTTTTTAGTTGATTAAGTCCACCAGCTGGAAACGAGATCTCTTCTCTGCAACTTGGGCACAAAAATGTCCTATTTGGATTTTGACTATGCGTAGCATGGTCGGATATACAACCATAGCAAAATGTATGGTAGCAAGGCAGCACACGGGGGTCCTCGTACTCTCCCAGACAAATACTGCATGTTAAGATATTCTCTTTGATATCTGCTGCTAGTGCTTCTGCCATATCTGACTGTCTTTTTGTTAATGTACAAATATAGATGGTTGAGTTGGTTTTGTTGCCTAAGTTGAATGTCAAAAATGCTCAGTTTCTTTCTACTCCCAAGTGCTGCAGCTTTGATCAACAGAGATCACAATTAAATGTTACTGTTGCTGTGTGTGCTCTAAGACTGGCTTACTGTCATATTTATAGCAAATGATTTAAAAAATAGTCCCAGAAATATCCTCTTTCTTCTCGTCCCCCTTTAAAACCGGAAAGTTAGAGAAAACATGGAGTCTGTTTATTACCTGACGCTGACCTCAACATAGCGACTTTGAGAACAAAAGAAACATCTATTGTGTATTGGCTGTTGACGTAGTTGTATTGTGTTTACTCTTAAGCACAGGCTATAGAAATAGACCCATGAATGCAGGTATTTTTGTCTCGCTTTATGTGAAGGAAACCTGCTCGAATTTAAAGGTCATTACATTTATTACAGAGGAATATTTGGTCAGTTTCCTCTCTCTCTCTCTCTCTCTCTCTCTCTCTCTCACACACACACACACACACACACACACACACACACACGTGTATATATGTGGACACACTCACACGTGCATGCACACACACATGCACACACAGACATGCATACACACACAACCATTGCATTATCATTAGTTACTGCATGTTTTAAATATATTTCTTGCAGTATGCAGTGTAATTATTTCTCACCTCCCTGATTTATTGATAAGGTAGAAGAAAATATTGATAACTGATTATTAAGCTGACCTGACAAATAGCAGCTAGCACATAGAGAGTATTGAGTCTGGTGACACAGTTGTAGCTCAGGTTAAACAAATAAAACCATGCCTGCCAGTATTTTTATTTTGCCGTGTAGTACTAAAGCATATGAAAGAGATTCCCAAAGCGGCCCAGTAAAGGTTACAGGGGCTTCCAAACATTGAGGGAAAATAGAAAGTTGCCTCCGATATTTTTGGCTTTCCATCACATGTAGTTTTTTATATAATGTATTTCAATTCATAGAGCCAAATAAAAACTTTTGAAACACATATGAAGTACATGTACTAGCTACTTATCAAAGTTATCTGACGACATGCAAATTTTTGACTTATATTTTAACACATCAATGTCATGAGCAGTGTTGTTAACTCCCCCCCCCCCCAACATAACTCACTATCCCTTAACCAGCAGCATTTTAATTAATTAATTAATTTTTTTTGAAGGGGGAGGGATGAAGGGGTGTATTAGGGTTCAAAAGTCGGTAATAAAATTTGCTACACAAATATATGACACATTGTTGTGTGATATAATAAAAATGAAGTACATAGGTATAGATCTCTTTTGGGCTCTGGCATTTCGCTACCAGTATGGCAAGCAACAATTTATACCTGTTGTATTGACCTATCTTAATCTGCTTCCAGGGGTATGATGCCTGCCGTTTCCAAAATACTGAGACAGTTTGGTCAGCAATAAACATACTAGTACAAAGACCAGCAGTCACTATTTACAAATTTTGGAGTGGGGCAATTGAGTTTTTGTACACATTGCACACATACACTCTCTATTAAAATTACAGAGTTAAATAAAATGTACAAAATCCTAAAGATACATATTGATAATTGTCATTAACAAAAAAAAAAAAAAATAATAATAATAAATAAATAAATAAATAAATAAATAGATGATTTAATAAAATAAACTCAGTATTGTTAAGATATATGATTTTAATCATTAAAATATATGAATTTTGATATTTATTTTTACTTTTAATGATTAATCCCATTACCCCCACCCCAGACCCCCCTCTGCTCAGGCATAACTTGGCGACCAAATTACATATTCACAGTTAGGACTCAGTGTACCCAATATACTGGGGGAAACCCCTGTTTGAAAGGCAAATATGATTTGAAAAGTGTTCTATATTTATTTCAGAAAAGTCCCTGCCAGAGCTGATACAGCCAACAGAAGAGAGACTGGCAGTTGTGCAAGATTTCCTGCAGGACGTCAAGCCGTCGTTAGAGTACGACATTGTCCCCATCGTGGACCCCTACGGCCCGACCATCGTGCGCCCTGAGTACCAGTGTCTGGTGGTTAGCCAGGAGACAGTGAAAGGATTTCATATGGTGAACCAGAAGAGGGAGGAGAAGGTGTGAACAGCAGGGTGTTTGTGTATGTGTCCACATGGGTGTGGGTGTGGGTGTGTGTGTGGGGGGGGGGGGGTGATAGAAGAGTAAAGTGGTTTTCTTCAGGCAACGGCCAATATTGAATTTATAGGATTTATACTTATATTTGTAAGATTAAAAAGCAGAATTTTTAGCAAAGGTTGTGGCGGGGGGTATAAAGATGTGTATGAGTTTGTGTTCATGTATCCACGTGGGGGGGGGGATGTTTAAAGAGCAAAGTGAATTTCTTCAGGCAAACAGCCAAAACTGAGTTGATTACTTACTTAAAATATTACCATCTGTCTATAGTATCTTTGTCTGTGAAAATTTGGGCTAAAATATGATTTATATTTATATGTCTTGCATAAATGATTGGGAATGTAATGAAGATTCCTGACTTCTGTAAAAAATGTTTAAAAAGTACGTAGAGATCTTAGCAAAGGTTGTGGTGCATTGGGGTATAAAGTTGATATTAAAAGCTTTCTAGTAATTATAACCTACAGTCAGTGAATATTTTAAGTGTTATTTAGATAATGGTTATACATTATTTTATTATGCATAGGATATGAGTCCACAAGAATTCCATGTTATAGACCTTGTAGAGGACACACAGTTTGAACATTATTGTATTGTATTATATCCTAGGGTATGAGTCCACTTGAAGCCCATGTGATAGAACTTGTAGAAGACAAACATCATGCTCCAGAAGAAGAGACCAAGATCAGTTCCTCATCACTCAGGAAGAGACTTCTGGGAACTTTGTGGGCGGAGCCTAAGGTATTGAAACAGTCAGTGTGTGTTAACAGTCAATGTTCTGCTTGAGAAGTGCCATGTCAAATGGTCCAGAGACTATATAGCAAACAATACCATCTTCTGTTTAAATATTTATTTAGTATTTTATTGCAAGCAGAGTGTACTATTTTAGAAAGAGCGATTTGTAGGTTGAAAATCACATCATTTTTTACGTACTTATCAAATTATTGTTTGATTTTTCTGCCAAAAATAAAGTGAGTTTTTTTTTTTTAACTTATTAGTTTCTTCACAGTCTTCACAGTTGTGGACAACTGCTATTATTATTATTATTATTATTATTATTATTATTATTATTATTCCAGCAGAAGTCAGGTCTACCAGGCCAGCCATATATATAGGTATAGCCAGTGGCAAGTCATCTGTGTGTAGATTATTATTATTATTATTATTATTATTATTATTATTATTATTCCAGCAGAAGTCGGGTCTACCAGGCCAGCCATATATAATAGGTGTTACAGGAGGTATAGCCAGTGGCAAGTCATCTGTGTGTAGAAGACTATTATTATTATTATTATTATTTTTATTATTATCATTATTATTATTCCAGCAGAAGTCGGGTCTACCAGACCAGCCATATATAATAGGTGTAACAGGTGGTATAGCCAGTGGCAAGTCATCTGTGTGTAGAAGACTA